GGGGGGGGGGGGGGGGGGATGGACCCTAATTTTTTATTTTCAAATGAGGAGATCCCTCTTGTGATACCTCCTTCGAAAGAGCATAAAAAAAGAAAACCTCTCGCGCAAACCCGAAGTCAATATCTCCAACCGTTTCAAAATGGCGGCCGGTTAAATGTAAAGATGGCCGAAAATTGAAACCTAGGTTTTTTGACGATGGATTTACCTGAAACTCGGTTGTGGGAAGTATTTTAACACGAGAGAAGCGAATTTGACGTTAGATTTTCATAAATACCGAAATTGTCAAAATGACGGCTGGTTAAAGTTCAAAATGGCCGAAAATTGTTTTTTTTTTTTAGAAATCTAATTTCAAATTTATTAATCTCATGCCAAAATATCCCTACGTTCCAAGTTTCAGGCAGGTACATAGGCAAATAACCGAGATGCCAATTTTCGGCCATTTTTAACTTCAACCAGCCGTCATTTTGACAATTTTGGTATTTTTGAAACTCTAACGTCAAATTTGTTTTTCTCGTGTTAAAATACTTCTCACAACCGAGTTTCAGATAAATCCATCGACAAAAAATATGGGTTTCAATTTTCGGCCATCTTTACCTTTAACCGGCCGCCATTTTGAAACGGTTGGAGGTATTGACTTCGGGTTTGCGCGAAAAGTTTTCTTTTTTTATGCTCTTTCGAACGAGGTATCACAAGAGGGATCCCCCCGTTTGAAAGTAAAAAGTTGGGGTCCGTCCCCCCTCCCCCCATGGGCGCCCCCTGAAAATTTTAGGGGGGTCAAAACGTAGCTCCCTTTGGCCTACTAGGAACGTCCTCCAAGTTTCAAAACTCTACCTCAATTAGGTAAAAAGTTAGATGAGGGGGGGGGGGGTTCGAGGGGATTTTTCTAACACTCTGTAAATGGTACTCCACGACTCCACGGTGGCGGAGGGCGGAGGGGTCAGGCGAACTGGAGGCTGGAGGCGACCTGTGACAACCGGCATAAAGTGGTGGTCGCATTTCGTACCCTCTTGACGTCACACGGTATGTTGGTGGCAAAGCATGTACCCTCTGTGCGTCACAGTCTTTAAAATGGCGGCTCAACTCGAAAACCGCCTTGCGGTTCGCATGTGATGCGTTGTTAAAGTCCACAACTGCCCAACGAAAATTACCCGTTGAGTGTTGAGCTCAACGAAAGCGTTGGTAAATTCCGGTGGATTTACCCGTTTTCCAAGATGGCTGCTCAGCAAACTGCCCAACAGCTCAGCGAGGTTTCTGGCTGCTGCGGACTGCTGCCGAGTTCACTGGATTGTTATTCCGCCATTTTTTTCTCACTTTAACCTCACACCACGCAACACACTTTGCCGGTCGCCAGTCAGTCTAGGGAGAATTGCTTGTTTTGTTTGTTCTTTCCTCTTCCTCCGCGAGTTCCGTTGTGCTCTGCTCTTTTTCTTTTTACGAAGATGTGGGTCCACATTCGATTGAATGTCATTACTTTAAAAGTGGAACTGCCAGAGCAGTTTCCATGAGCATATTATCCTCTTCTTCGTCAATCATGTCAAACACTAAAATAATGCTTCACCAAAGATCGAGAAGATTCTTTCGAACGAAAAAAGCTTTGACTTTATCACCGGGCACATATGTCAAAAATTTCATTATCAATTTCACAACATCAACATAACCTCCAAATCATCTCAATCCAAGGGGAATTTAACAACGGCACCAAGATTTTCTTCCGTCCGTTGAGCTGACGTCGTCGTTGAGATGACGTCAATCCTGCGGAGAGTCAGCCATTTCCGTTGGGCAGCAAAAGTAATTTAACAACGCACCTGACGTTCGTTGGTCGTTGCCTTGCGGCAGCTCGATAAGCCCAACAAGCCGTGTGGCTGGCATCTGGACGCACCTTCATCTAGCCAAGCCATGGCCATGGACCAAGAGAATAAATAAGGACCCCCAACTCCGGTTAGCGCTGACATCAGCGCTCCCTGGCAGAGGGTGTAGAGAACTAAACCGATGATTGGGTCTTCCTGTTTATATCTCCATGCACCACCTATTTAGGCTTATCACTCAGTAGTGCTCATAGAAGTTTCTAGATCCTCGTATCCTCGTGGTCGCCCTGCAGTTTTGAAGAGTTTAGTGTGAAAAGTTCCCCATTTTCATTTCAATCTTCGTCAGTCTTCGTGTACATAAACTGGTATTAACGTGAAGTGTTATTTCTAACCGTTTTACTCAGCAGCAACTGCTGTTGAGAAAGCCAAAGGAAGTGTGTATGTAGTGTGCATCAGGAATCAGGATTGTACTTTTAGCCGAAGGCGCCTCTCTGTTAAGTGAAATCTTTTTAGTGAGAAATAGTGTTGTACTGATAAAAATCAACTGAGTGTCACAAAATCAAAGATACTTGACTTCAAGCATTACCTTTAATTTGATTATTAGCAAGTCTCTTTGATTCTGCGTCAGAAGTTGACTGAATCATCTTTGCTCGTGTTTTGATAAGATACTTCAAATCAAAGTCTTTCGCATTGACCTCTGCAGAGGGTATGTATCTATACAATTTCATTAGTTTGCGAAAGTAAAATGTATTAAAGTATCTACACAAATAAATTAATCATAGATAAACAAAGAACATTGCATGGAATAACATACTATAGAGGTACGATCGTGGACCGCTGTGGCGTTAGTTCACCGCACCCTCTGCCAGGTTCGCTGCGAGCGCGCGTTAACGGTTTTTAACACAGGTTAGCATAGGGAGTTGGGAGTCCTTATTTATTCTCTTGGTCCATGGCCAAGCTGAGATCACAGACACACTACTGTCCATTTGAATGACGTCATTCCAAAAAACCAAAAGTAAACAGCAGCAGCCAGTCCGATCCGAGTCATCATCGGCCATCATCAATTGTCAATTTCCTGACGACGAAGTTATTCTGTAACCCTGCCGCTCGTTATTTTCCAATTTTGCTTTTCATTTTCGTAATTCCGGATACAATTCGAGTGAGTTATTATTTCAATGGCTTCATTACGTAAAAAATTGGTCATCGTGGGTGACGGTGCTTGTGGTAAAACGTGTCTTCTCATTGTGTTCAGCAAAGATCAATTTCCCGAAGTTTATGTACCCACTGTGTTTGAGAATTATGTAGCCGATATAGAAGTCGACGGAAAACAAGTGGAACTGGCGTTATGGGATACCGCTGGGCAAGAAGATTACGATCGTTTGCGGCCCTTATCTTATCCCGATACCGATGTTATATTGATGTGCTTCTCCATTGACTCGCCCGACTCATTGGAGAACATTCCTGAGAAGTGGACTCCTGAAGTCAAACACTTCTGTCCGAATGTTCCAATCATCCTTGTGGGTAACAAGAAAGATCTTAGAAACGACCCTGTCACCATTAAAGAATTGGGGAAAATGAAGCAAGAGCCGGTGCGGCCAGAAGAAGGTAGAGGCATGGCAGAAAAAATAAACGCGTTCGCCTATTTGGAATGTTCAGCCAAAAGCAAAGAAGGCGTTCGAGAAGTGTTTGAAACTGCAACCCGAGCAGCGCTCCAGGTCAAAAAGAAGAAGAAAGGCAAGTGCAGGATTCTATAATTTTGTTTTTACACTTAAGGGTCAATATAGTCACCTTCGACAGAGTTGTATCTATGTCTTCAGTCTACAGCACGATAGTCTTTTTCAAGGAACTGTACCCACAACACTCGTGTCTAAACTGTTTGCTAAGTGTATTTTATAGTAATTTTTGCATTTTATGCCGTTTAATTCTTCAGAACCTTAGTTTTGTACTAAATTCTGTAATTATATAAAGCCTACCTTCTCCGTTGTTGAGAATCGTTTGTAGCTACTGTTATAAATTTCTTAGTGGATTTCAAAAGTCAGATTGTTGTATCCTTTGATCCAAAGAATGTCCCTCTGAGCCATTTTTTCATCTCAATAAACACCTGTAGGGTTCGAAGGGTTTTGGATTTGAAAGTGAAGTTTTGACGAACTGAGGAGTGCGTTCAACACCAATAAAATTTCCACCTGTTTATCAAAAAGGAGGAAACTTTGCACAGGTTATTGTTGCCATAAAGTTGATAAAATGAGAATTTTGACTTAATACATTCACTTGATGCATAACAGGTATGCAAGTCGACGGTGTAAGTTGGCAATCACATAACTCGGTTTGCGACGTCGCAGACTTCTTGTCATACTTTATTTTTTAAAGGAAAACTACTCAACAGCAATTCTTTTAAACCGCCGCAATCTTTTCTTCTCTGTGCAAAGAAAATTCTGCATATTCTTCAAGGAATGATGTCCATTTGTTCACCTTTAAAAAAATAACATGTAGGCGGAGATTCTCAGACACCGCAAACGAGATATGTGATTGCGGACTTACGCCGTCGAAGTGCATTTTCGCTTTTAATCCAAGGAAAGAACTCAATGTATTTTAAATTCATGCCAGATACCTAAATCCCATGTTTTCCATAATCTTCTTGTGCTAGGAGATAAAATTAGATTACTCACTCGGAGTGAGGATTACCTAAAACTCAGTGTTGAATTGGGATGCTTGTCAGCGAAGACAAGCTAAGATATATTTAAGGGTGAAAAAAAATCTATTTATAACAACTATCAACATTCTACTGGCAATTAATGCTGTTTGTAGAGGCATTATCAATGGCGTGACCAAGAAGTAATGCATTTTTGTATCATGCGCATCTCACAATGATTGCACTTGCTTTACTTACCCATCCAATCTGTGAAAATTTATCACATGTTTCGCTACCTCGTCTGAAAGGAATTCCTAGTAGGTCGATGATATTCCCTAAGAACTTCTGTCTAAAAGAAACACTTTATTTTTTGGTGAAGAAAACTTCTTTGTCCTCAAATTTGTGTTTTTCCAACTTCCTCACTATTATGGTAAATTTTAAACTACATTGTCAGTGATCCCTCCAAGTGAACAACGATTAACTGCACTAAACAGGTATCTTAACCTTTCTAAACTGACAATGACATCAAGAAGAGTCAAAACCAAAATCCCATGTGACCACTTGGGTGTTGCTCTATCGATGATGATCTATGTAATTTAATTAGATGAAAGTTTTTCTCACTGTCACAGCGTAATTTGTATTAGATCCCGATGATTTTATAAAAAATCTAATCTTCACTGGATAATTGATATGCAATGGGACATGAATAAATGGCTCTGGAGGTTCTCATGCTTATTAGGTTTTACACCTCAATCTTTAACTCCTAGTTTGTTCATATTTCTTGTGATGAATTTTGGATTTGAAACTGTCAAGGGTCCAATTTTTTGAACTGATCGAACTGGTCCAATTTACTTTGAATTGATTAAGGTCTCATAGACATGGCTTGGAATAAACTTTTACAAATCGGAGAAATTCAAAATGCCTTTTTAAATTTTTGTTAATTGCTATATATTTTATTCTTATGCCTTATCTTTTAATTGTGGACTTTTTTACTCATTAGCCTGTTACTGTAGGAATGTAATGATGATCACATGCTGTATCCTAATTTTAGCAGTTTTTATCTTCTTTATTTTTGGTTTGTTTTTTGTTTCTAAAGAGATTTATCCTTTATTTTACTTAATTTATTATAAGTTTTTTCCCTCTTCAATCAACAAACTAAAAATCAGCTTAGCATTGTTGGAACATTTTTCAAGACGTATCAATGCTATTTCGTCTTCATCTCCCATTACTTAATACTTTTTACTCTCAATATATTCTAATACCTAACTCCTTAATGCATTGACTTTGAGCTCATTGTAGCTTAACTGATGGAAGGACCAAAGCATGTACATTTTGATGGCATAAAATTCTTTTTCAGTCACTATTCCATGAAATTCTGTGTTTTAGCTCTTTCATAACTTGATATTTCCTTACCAACCTATCTGTAAAAAAGGTACGCTTTAACCCCAATAGCCTGCATAGGTATTTCCTCCATTTCCAGTTTCTTAAGCCAATGCCAATATCCAGTTAACTAATAAATTTTTATTTAAATATAGCATCAGAGACTCAGGTGGGCTGTTTTCCATCATCTATTTTTCTACTTTGCTTTGACTGCCAATTACCTACTGAATCAATAATTCTGACTGATACTGCATGGTTGAATTGTACTTTCTTTTATCTATCAGCTTAGTCAATTTCAAATAAAAAAAAAAAAAAAATTGTATCGTTACTGAACTCCCCTCTAAGTAGGTCTGTTCTTAGTAAAACTCCCAAATGGCGTATCTCGTTTGCGATGTTTTATCTGCTCTCATTGTATTCTTTTGAAAGAGAGCAAATCAACATCATTCCTTAAAATTTTCAAAAAAATTTCTCGGCACAGAAAAGAAAAAGCAAGAAGGTTTCAGTGAATTGACATTGAGTAGTTTTCCCTAAAAGTAAATTATCATAGGAAGTTTGCAAATTTGCAAACCATGATACGTGTTTTGGGAGTCTCATTGACTAAGTGCCTCCACCCTAAAAATCACCAATAGAAGTGAAACTTCATTCATAAATAATGCCGCGTCAATATCTGGAATTTTTGACCTTGATCCTACTGGGCATGTTGGACCAGACTAACTTCCTTCCCCCTTGTGTTTGATGTAAATAATGAACAGCCTCCAAGTCATACTCAAAAGTTAAATAACCACTCATCAAACGCTGCTTGTGTTGTGAAAAAGATCTTATTTCTTGTTTTCATTTTATTACTGAACTGAGAGCGATTCATCTCATTACCTACTAGAACTACCTCATGTATGATTGCTTGAGCTCTAAGAAGCAACTTAATAATAACCTATTTATTTTTATATGAGTGCTCCACAGGAATTTACCTACAGGTCCAGTTTTTCAATTACTCACACCACATCAGCTCAAAGTAGTCTAATTCCAGTGTCTCTATTTCCCTAGCTTGTAACAGATCTTTGTATCAATTTTTTAACTGCAACGCCTTTTTTTAAATATCTTTACAACTTTAGCTACGTTCTACATCCGCAAATACAGTAATCTATGCAAGATCTTAAATTAAAGGAAACGTTAGTACATAATAGGTACCCCTGCAAAACCTCCACCAAAAATTCTGTAGGTATTCGTTTTGTCTAATTTATTTGTCAAAGCTCTCGTATTTTGGTAAATATTTTCCCCTTGAACTTGATTTGTTTGTCTGCATCTTAATTTTAAAGATTAGGCATATGTAAGAAATTGCGGCTCAAATAATTGGCAACTTCTTCTGAAAACAATTTCCCAAGTAATATCGGAAATATGCCAGCAAGAGCAGAGTGTCACGCATCAGTGCAAGTTCTCAGTTCCCTTTGCCCAATCAGTCATATTCAATTTCATCTATTTAATCAATGATTCGCCGCACTACTAGTGTGATAGGTGTTTTTGTATTCTTTTATGAAGTATCAAGCAAGTTTAAGTTTTAAGACTGAATCTTTATAACTTCTTCAAGTAACTTTTTCAGAGATTTTTATTCCTATAAATATTCGGTGTAAAATTATTAGGTATTGTAAGGAGGTATTAAAGTCAATTTTTTTTTGTTGCACAATTGATATCTATCACCTATGTAGACAAATTTTTTATCTCAATTCTTTTTCTGCAGGAGCAACAAGATCCGAGCAGTATTTTATTGCCTAATACTTGGAGTCTTTTTCATTCAATTATTAGACTTTCATTCTCTTCGTATTTGTATTTTTTAAGTAGGTATATTGAAGTCAATTATACTTGTGTACCAATTCTGAACTTAAAACTAAAATTTAAATGGAAAATACCTTTACTTTTAAATTTAGTACTATTATTTCAAGGGAAAGTACCTCCATGTTTGAACTCAACTCTATGTAAAGGGAAAGTACCTCATACCTCTGTCTGGCTGAAATGCATCTCCAAAAGGTCACACAACTCCTCTTCAGAAGAGATGGATCTTCCTTCATTAAATATTACCTATCTTCTATAGTTAATTCCCAATAACTTTTTTTAGAGACTCTAATTGAGCTTCTTTAATAACTTTTAATGCTTGTATTTTTGAAAACCTAATATATAAGGTACACATGGTTAACAATAATTTCCCCTGACTTTTTTTAACAATATTAACCCACAAAAAACGATTCCGAACTTGGATATTTTGAGCTCTCATTCAAATGCGAGATGCCGGGTCATCAAAGATGGCGGCTGCACAGGTAGGTTGGCTTGACAGTCGGACCGATCTGCGAGACCACCATCTTAGATGACTTGGCATCACGCATTAAATGGGAGCTCAAAATATGCAAATTCGAACTCGTTTTTTTGGGGGGGTTAATATTGTTCAAAAAAATCGATGAAAATTCCTGTAAACTTTGTGCACTCTGTAGTTTTCAAAAATCTAAGAATTAAAAATGAATGAACAAGCCCATCATCATTACAGCTTCTTGCGCTTTATTCCCGAAGCACAATCAATGCTGCTAAGAGCACTGAAAGACTTAGCTCTGATTCATTGTTCTTTACCTTCAGTCTCCTTTCCTTTTTCTGGAAAAATAAATGCAGCTTAGTTGTAGACTTCTTCTAGGGTGTACCACAAGCTACCAAGCTGCCTTGTATTTTTTAAAACCTAGTATCATTTGTGTAAGAAACTTAATGAATTAGAATTTGTAAGGAAAAAACCACATGAGTATTTTTATAATAGGTACTTATCCCTCATTGAGTTTGAGTTATGTCTGCAACTCCTTGTTACTTACTTAATACTTTTCATTGCTCTGCATGTATCAATGGAAGGGACTATATATTGTACAATGAATCAACCGGTTCTCAATATAGCTGATCCCTTCGGATTTTTTTTACCAGCACTCTCTTTTACTCAACCATAGGAAATTAATTCAAAGTGGAAAGCAAAACTGCAGCAGGTAACTGTCCTTTCAGCTCTAAGACTGAAAAGAATATCCATTCATTTTTCATTATTTAGAAAATACAATCCTACATTAATTTTTATAAGTATTTAGTTATTCCTCTGTATTAAGAAACCAAAAACGTTTTAGTAAAAACAAGAAAAGAAAAAATATGAAGAAAATATTTTATGGAAGAATGTATTCATCCTCAATTTATATGATGCTTTGTCTTCCTGAACCCAATTTTATTTTTCTGCTTATATTCATTTTTTCTTTCTTTTTCAATTATTATCTTTTTGACAACTGTAATTATATTTTTTACTGCTATGCTAATTGTAAATTATAAGTCAAGTATGATCATTATTTTGAGAAAGTCTTATTTGTTTTCTCCTTAAAACTGAGTACCTACATTGGAATAATAATATGTAATCATCAAATGAACAAAACAAGACCCTTTGGCCATGAAATATTTTTAATACTACTTTATTTGGTTTTTTCTCTGTGCAAAAATTTTATCAGCCTCATACTACGCTTGCACTAATATTGGAAGCCAATCATAGTCATGGTATCTAGGACTGGGAAAAACCAGGATTCATCAGGCATGTGCAGTTTTCTCAAAGTTAGAGAAATTGGACGTTCATGGTTTCCCTATGACATGATTCGATCAGAACATAAAAGTTCTTGAATGTGTGAAAAAATTGGCAACAATGGGCTTTTAGGCTTCAATCAATTCGTGAAGAGAAATTTTGTAGCTGAGTAATAAGAGAATTGTAAAGAATCATTCTACAAAAGGAGGGTGCTTTTCTCCAAAGGTTTTTTTTGGCTGCCTGAATCGATCAAAATTCCATTGATGCACATGAATAATGAACCTCAAGTTTCATTAAGAAAAGGGGAAAAAGCTACACGTTCAAATCAGTACTTGTTAGTTTATAGAAAAAGTAAACTAAATTTTCAAATGATTTGATAATGGGAAAAAGGATTCCTTTGAAAACAAGGAATATGATTATGATTGAATACCAAGTCCCGAAATTTTAAAGCTCATTAATTCCTTTACCTTATTCTTGAGAACAGACATGTTTTGATAAGACCTGACCTGTCCTGTCTATCTTCTAAAGCGATGCAGCTTGCTGACAGGAGTCTATTGAAACATATATGTGTGTTCACATAACTAGGGTGAAGGAATAAAGGAGTTTTAAAATTTTGCCACCTTATTCTTGATTTGCTTTTTGCTTGTATACCAAAACATTGTTTACCAAAAAGTGTCATTCTATGCAGGACCTCACTTGTAGTTTATGTCACTAAAACTTAGCAGTCAATGAAATTAGAACACTCACTCATCAATTTATATAACATGTTATATATTTTAACAAAATGTGTAAAGGGAAATACAAATAAAGATACATAAATTTAGCAATAGTTAACATGAGATACAAAATGCGAATCACTGATTTGATTACTCTTAGTGACAGCTTAAAATTCGACATAGAAGTGAAAACAGATGAAAATTGGGAATAACTGAGGCAATAATTACTTATCCCTTTTCACATATAATTTCGAGAATACCATGCTCCATTAACTGCTTGTCTCCATCTATACATCGGTTAGTTACACTTCTCACCACTTCGTCGAGCAAATTCCGAATGACCCTGGAAAAATTTGATAAGAATAGATGAGTATTACTTGAGCTCTTCCTTTGCTTGGAACGTAAGAGAACCTTCATTAAAATCTAGCCTGAATTTGGGTAGCCCAAATTTAGCAGTGCCGACATTTTTCTGGTCTTACCCTCTGAAATTGATCAATTTGATCGAAAAAGACCCACTGCTAGGTGTCAGCCATGATATTTACCCATATGTGTTAGATGGGGACTTTTTGGGCCAAGCTCGAAAATGATAATCATTTACCTCTTTTACTTTAGGATAATTTCCCTGCAAATTGAATTTTCCCATACCTATAATGAAAGTTATCCAGAGAAAATAATTTTTCCAGGAAAAAGGCTCAATTGATGACTGATGCTTCATACGTATTTTGTTGCGTTCAGAACAAAATTAATGACCAATTTTCTCCAGGAAGAAATCTCAATTTTCTGCTCAATTTTTGGAAAGAAACGCTCAACATGTGACAGGTTTGTTTCTAATTTGCTTCTTAGAGCTTAGCCCAACAATAATAATGTTTTTCGACATATCTCAACTCCATCAGAACTTACAGGAAAATTCAGTTTACCAGAAAACTTACTTGCTCATCATGAACATCTCGTCCCAATGGTTTACCATTGAAAGGAGGGGTAGAAAAAAAAGAAAAAAAAAGAGAAAAAAAATTGAGGTGCCTGATAGAACTCATGGCAAGTGTTTTTGGCTGTTGAAGCCGAATATGACCTCAGTTTATTTCCTGACTTATACTAATTTTCCTGAAAAAAAGAAGAAAAAAGGCATATAGGAAGCCGATCTAACGACACTGGTTAGTGTCATCTGATTAGGCTGAGACTTCGAGTTGGGTCTTTCTTGATAAAATAGATCAATTTCACCAAACCATGAAACCATTGAAACCATGGAAACTCCCAAAATTTTTTTCCACGTATATTTTGGCCACCCTAAGCTAGAATATGACAGTTGATTTTCTTACATTTTCCGGATTAGATCCATGACTCAGATACACAAAATACATTTAAGTCCCCCACTTCTTGTTAAAAGAGTGCTGATCATAATAAATAATAATTACAATACAGATGGGTCGCTTTTGTCACCCAGTAACATTCAATTTTATGAGGTAGGAGATTTTTTCATACGATCAATGCCAGTAAGTTTTTAAAAATTCCTACCCACTATGTGAGAGAAGTTTTCTTTTTTCTCTCTCTTTTTTTTCAAAGAATTGATTTATTGTTAGCTTCCGATACAGAAATATAAACAATTAACTTATAATATGAATAAGGTATAGTGTAAGTAACGACATGATAGTTGCTTATTATTATAAAAATTAAAAGTAGAGGAAAAGTACATCCATTGTTAAAAAAGACACTAAGATTAATGGATGATTAATTTAAGGTGATAATATGCCAACTTTTGCTGCACTAATGTGCTTAAAGTGGATAAAAGGTTCGAAATTTGTTCAGCTTGGACCGTGACGAGTCGCTCTGGGGTGCTTAGACGCTTATCAAGTTCATGATAAGTCTTATTAGCGTCATTACTTGTCTTTTGATTAGTTTGAAGATGAGAGTTACCTCTAGATACATTTGCATAACTGCCTGCATTTTTAGGGCTATTTACTACGTTTGTAACTGTAAGATTAGTGGGGGGGACCACTTTATGGTTAACGAACTTGCGGAGTTTTTTTTCTTAATGTCTTTATACACCTTGCGAGAAGTATCTGAAATACAAGATGAACTTAGGAAAACAATTGAGAAGAACTCAAACCAGGGTCAAAAGAGTTAGTAAAACTTGCATGCAGTCTTCATCAGTTTGCTACAGTTAGCCCTACAAGCTTTTTGAAGGTTCGCACATCATTATTAATACCTGATACGCAACGGAAAGATAGAACCACTAAAATTTTATAAATAACGTTTTAAACTTCAGAAATTTTACAGTTTTTAGTTGGTTTAGACTTGTTTTTGTCTAAGTTGTGCCTTAAGAGTCACAATGTCATTAGCAAAGTGGAAAACATTTATCAAAATACTCACGTTTCATCAGCAACAAACCGCCAGAGATAGATTTTCAAGTAGTGAGTATCTACCTGAACTTGTTGGAGGCCATACTTGTTGAAAGTCTTCAGACGAACACATTCTAATAAAGCCTGAAAAAAATTATGTACTATTGAAGAAAGTAGAAGTATTTGATTAAAAAAAAGAACAATAATGCTCTATCATTCGAAATTAAAATTTTTTGGCAGATTAATTCGGAGAAAACCACTGATCTGTTGTTCAGTTCATCTACCACTAGTTCATACTTTCCTGGTTGCTGGGAATACATTTTAAACTCGGTCTCCTGTTTGAAGACGAGAAGATCTATTTGTGATGTACCAATGTCTAGAAGCAAAAATTTTGAAATTGACCATCTAGAATTTGAAAACTACCAATGGTACTGGATTAGTTCCTACTTTAATACACTAATATTTTATTTACGGAGTATTGAAGACTCTTTAACAAATTGGTACTACTTACATCATAATCTCACTGATTCACTCTCATTTAAGTACTAACTTACTTCACTTTTTTCATATTTTCTCAGACTCAGATTTGGCAATTTTTTGGCAAAATTTGGCAATGTCGGAATTTTTTTGGTCTTACCCCCTGAAACTGATCCATATGATAAAAAGAAACTTCAATAGCTTTCTGACACTGCAAATTTTCTTATTTTGTCATAATTGCACCTTGTTTCCCTTTTGGCAAACCCCTCAAAACCTGGCTGATTTTTTTTTTTTTTTGGGGGGGGGGGGGTTAAACGACTCAAGAGACAATGTACAGGGTGTTTCAGACCACCCGTACCAGGCCTTTTTCTCGGTTGGTTTAGGTCGCACGAAGTCGGAGACTGCGGGGAATTGACCCCAAGGAATCCGAATTTTGTGGTCCCCCCCCCCCACCTCCCCTTGGGGGGTAAAGGGGGGGTCACGATGCTAAAAGTCACGGTTCCCGACCGAATTGCGGATCGATCGCATAGAATTGAAAAGCACGGAAAATTTCACGTGGAATTGACCCCTAAAAATCCAAAATCGGACCATCCAAGGCCCAATAAATGATCCCCTAAAGAGGGGGACAGTACCCCCCTCCATAATTTCTCTTTGGTCTCAAAATTGACGTAAATTCTCCAGAAAAAGACGGTTNTTTTTTTTTTTTTGGGGGGGGGGGGGTGTTAAACGACTCAAGAGACAATGTACAGGGTGTTTCAGACCACCCGTACCAGGCCTTTTTCTCGGTTGGTTTAGGTCGCACGAAGTCGGAGACTGCGGGGAATTGACCCCAAGGAATCCGAATTTTGTGGTCCCCCCCCCCCCCCCCCCC